ATTCTGTAGGGAATGGCCATATCTATCAGATCAATAAATTGGGATCCGATTGGATCATTATTATAGCCAGAAAGAATAAATTAATTAGCAGTGGCTAAACCCACACTGTCCTGCAGCTTTTGTTGTTCTTTTCACATTCTCTCATTCACACTCTGCTTCACTCGGCCTCTGCCTCTGCCGTCCCTCTGCCTCTGCCGACCCTCTGCCTCTGCCGATTTTAAACCACCCCCCCACCCTTAGATTTGTTTTATACCCGGTACTCGAAGAGTAAATAGGGTATATTGTATTTGTGCACAAAGTTAATGTATGTAAAACACAGAAGGAATCGTTTCCGACCCCATAAAGTGTATATATTCTTGATCACCATCAATAGCCGAGTCGATTGAGCCCTGTCTGTCTGTCCGTCTGTCCGTCCGTCTGTCCGTCCGTCTTGTTGAGCACCTGAATCGCAGAGACTATAAAAGCTAGAGCCACCAAATTTTGCATCCAGACTTCTGTATGCTCACACTGTTACAAGTGTATTTAAAAAATGTGCCCCGCCCCNAACACACAGAAGGAATCGTTTCCTACCCCATAAAGTGTATATATTCTTGATCACCATCAATAGCCGAGTCGATTGAGCCCTGTCTGTCTGTCCGTCTGTCCGTCCGTCTGTCCGTCCGTCTTGTTGAGCACCTGAATCGCAGAGACTATAAAAGCTAGAGCCATCAAATTTTGCATCCAGACTTCTGTATGCTCACACTTTTACAAGTGTATTTAAAAAATGTGCCCCGCCCCCATCCGCCCCCGCAAAAGGGCGAAAACCTCCCAAATCTACAATTTTAAAGATAGAAGAAAACTAAAAACGCCATTCTGTAGGGATTGGCCATATCTATCAGATCACCAAATTGGGATCCGATTGGATCATTATTATAGCCAGAAACAAGCTGTCCTGCAGCTTTTGTTGTTCTTTTCACATTCTCTCATTCACACTCTGCTTCACTCGGCTTTTGCCTCTGCCGACTTTAAACCACCCCCCCCCCCTCCCACAGCTTATATTTGTTTTATCCCCGGTAGTCGAATAGTAAATAGGGTATATTGTATTTGTGCACAAAGTTTATGTATGTAACACACAGAAGGAATCGTGCACAAAGTTAATGTATGTAACACTTAGAAGGAATCGTTTCCGACCCCATAAAGTGTATTTATTCTTGATCACCATCAATAGCCGAGTCGATTGAGGCCTGTCTGTCTGTCCGTCTGTCCGTCCGTCTTGTAGAGCACCTGAATCTCAGAGACTATACAAGGTAGAGCCACCAAATTCTGCATCCAGACTTCTGTATGCTTACAGTGTTACAAGTGTATTTAAAAAATGTGCCCCCCCCCCCCCTTCCGCCACCGCAAAAGGGCGAAAACCTCCCAAATATACAATTTTAAAGATAAAAGAAAACTAATAACGCCATTTTGTAGGGAATGGCCATATCTATCAGATCACCAAATTGGGATCCGATTGGATCATTATTATAGCCAGAAACAAGAAATTAAGCAGCAGTGCCTAAACCCACACTGTCCTGCAGCTTTTGTTGTTCTTTTCACATTCTCTCATTCACACTCTGCTTCACTCGGCTTTTGCCTCTGCCGACTTTAAACCACCCCCCCCCCCCCCCCCCCCCCCCC